CACAGCCCCGGTCATCCTGGATAAACTCCCGGAACTGCTCCACTCACTCCCAACCTCCATTTGCCGTGTAGTCTTGCATGTCGGGGGGAAAGATTGTAGCTCGGGGTGCTTCTGAACTGACAAAAAAGGATTTAAACAAACTTCTTAAGTTCTTAAACGGCTGTGGAAAATCCGTTTTTATTTCCGGCCCTATTCCCACGCTCTGTCGCGGAACAGAACGTTTTAGTAGACTTCTTTACCTTCATTCCTGGCTCCAGCCAGCTTGCAAAACTCATGGCTTTGATTTAATTGACAATTTCAATCTGATCTGGAACCGTTCCATGTATTTCTGGACTGATGGGGTTCATCCCAGCAGATTAGGGAGCTGCAAGTTGGCTGCTAATATCCAGCACACTGTACAATGCGCCCCACGTGTCTGCCTAGTTACGCCACACACCCCCTCCACAGAAGCTGCCACTTTATGTCCACAGCAGCACAGACCTGCGCTGTTTCCATCAGTGGCTCCTCCTGGCAGTTACCCTCATCTTTGATTTTGACAAGTATAAACATGCATCACTCTCATATTCCCATAGTAACGGCATCTGTTCAGCCACCTAAATCAAAAGTGAACAGAAAAACAGCTGTGCCTAACAACTTATTAAAGATTAATACAACTGCTCCAAAAGAACATAATAGCATGAAAATTAAGTGTGGGCTATTAAATGTCAGATCCCTCTCTTCAAAAGCTGTACTGGTTAATGAATTAATATCGGATCATAATATAGATTTGTTCTGTTTGACTGAAACCTGGCTGGGACATGATGATTGTGTAAGCCTCAATGAATCCGCTCCTCCCAGTCATAGTAATACGCACATACCTTGAGGCAACTGGCCGAGGTGGTGGAGTTGCAGCTATTTTTCATTCAGACCTTTTAGTCAAGTCAAAACCCAAACTAAGTTATGGCTCTTTTGAAATACTTGTTCTTGGTATTTCAAACCCAACCTGGACAAATATGTAGCAGATTTTATTTATCGTGTACCGTGCTCCTGGTCCTTACTCTGTTTTTATCAGAATTTGCAGAATTTTTATCTGACTTAGTTCTTAAAACAGACAAAGTAATGATAGTAGGTGATTTTAATAATCATGTGGACGTCAAGAATGACAGCCTCAGTACTGCATTTAGTTCACTGCTTGATTTGGTTGGCTTCTGTCAAAGTGTTCATAAACCCACACACTGTTTCAACCATACCCTTGACCTAGTTTTAACATATGGTATTGAAATAGAAAACTTGGTGGTGTTTTCTCATAATCCCATTTTAACTGACCACCATCTATTATCTTAGATTAGTTTCAATTGTTGGACTTCAAGCCAATATGCCTATACTAGATCCCTATCTGATGGTGCTGTAGTTAAGTTTAAGGATTCAATTGCATCAGTGTGTACCTCTATTACGTGTCTCATAAAACCTCCTGTAGACTCCTATGCTAACGTCCATCCCTCACAAATTAATCCTTTACAAATCAATCATCTCATGGACAGCACTACAGGACTGCTCCGAATGAAACTGGACACTGTTGCTCCTTGGAAAAAGAAACTGATTAAACACAGAAGACACGAGAGGAAATGGCGTCTTGCACATCAAGAAGATTCTCATTTAATATGGCAGGATAGTTTGAAAATGTATAGGAAGGCCCTCCGCAGCGCCAGAGCAGCCTATTACTCAGAATTAATAGAGGAAAATATTAACAATCCCAGGTTCCTCTTCAACACTGTAGCCAGATTGACAGGAAGTCACAGCTCAAAGGAACAAGGTGTCCCTCTTGACCTCAGTAGTGACATTTTTATGAACCATTTTAACGACAAAATTTTTGTTATTAGAAATAAAATTCAGCACCTCCTGTCTTCAATGGATGCCAACCTGCCCTTAGTCTCCTTAGAAGCACCTTTAAAACTCAGTAGATATTTGGACTGTTTTGCTACCATCAACCTTCACCAACTTCAGTTGTGTCCTTGTCCAAACCAACGACCTGCCTCACAGACTCCATCCCAACCAAACTGCTCAAAGAGGTTTTGCCATCAGTTGGTACTTTTTTGTTAAAGATTATCAACCTTTCTTTAACAACAGGCTATGTACCTCAGTTTTTTAAGGAAGCGGTTATTAAACCACTTCTTAAAAAGACTATTCTTGATCCAGGGGTTTTAGACAGTTACAGACCGATATCTAACCTTCCTTTCATATCCAAGATCCTTGAAAAAATTGTGGCAAATCAACTCTGAATTTTTGCATAGCAACAACTCATTGGAAAAATTTCAGTCAGGTTTCAGAATGCATTATAGTAGAGAGACAGCACTGGTAACAATTTCTAATGATCTTTTAACAGCATCAGATAAGGGATTAGTCTCTGTATAACTCTTATTAGATCTAAATGCGGCATTTGATACAATTGATCACCATATTTTACTACAGAGACTTGAACACTTAATCGGCATTAAAGGAACTGCGTTAAGCTGGTTTGAATCCTACTCATCAGATCACACCCTGTTTGTACATGTAAACGATAAGTCTTCTCTGCACAGCAGAGTCACCCATGGAGTTCCACAAGGTTCAGTCCTTGGACCTATATTATTCACCTTGTATATGCTTCCGCTAGGTAATATCATTAGGAACGACAGTAAAATTTTCATTGTTGATGACGTTATACCTTTCTATCAGACCTGATGAAACCAACCAGTTAACTAGGCTTCAAATGTGCAATAAGGATGTGAAGACCTAGAGGTCTAATAATTTCTTGATGTTGAACTCTGAGGTTGTAGTACTTGGACCCAAACTCCTCTGAGACACATTGTCTGCAGACATAGTTGCCTTGGATGGCATTGCCTTGGCCTCCAGCACCACCGTGAGGAATCTGGGAGTTTTTTTTGATCAAGACCCGTCTTTCAACGCACACATAAGCAAACTACAAGGACTGCCTATTTTCACCTCTGCAATATTGTGAAAATTAGAAACCTTCTGCATCGAGATGATGCAGAGAAACTTGCAGAGAAACGCATTTGTTACCTCAAGGCTTGACTACTGTAACTCCATGCTTTCAGGCTGCTCAAAAAAATCTCTTAAGTCTCTTCTCTCCAGTTAATACAAAACGCTGCTGCACGCATACTGACAAGAACCAGTAGGAGAGATCGTATCACCCCTGTTTTAGTAACTTTGCACTGGCTCCCGGCAAAATTGAGAATTGATTTTAAAATACTTCTTCTTACATACAAAGCCCTTAATGGTCAGGCACCATCCTATCTGAGAGAACTCATTACACCATACTGCCCCACGAGAACACTGCGTTCGCAAAATGCAGTAGTAATACTTGTAGTGCCTAGGGTCTCCAGATGTAGAATAGGAGCCAGAGCCTTTAGCCATCAGGCACCTCAGCTGTGGAATCAGACCCCTTTTCCATATTTAAGAGTGGGCTACAAACTTTTCTTTTTAGTAAAGATGTATTTTGTGAGAAGGCTTATAGTTTGGGTTAGGGTATCTTATGAATTTGTATACATTTTAATTGTCTATTTTATTGTATTTATTATTAGTTTTATAATTGTCTATTTTATTGTTTTTTTAATGTGTGTTTCTTTTTTCTGCAAATTCTATGTGTCTCTGTTTTCTGTAAAGTGTACTGGGACCACACAGCTGGTGATTTTACACTTTAATAAACTTTGACTTTACTTGACTCACTCCTTTTTGAAATAAAATCTAGGTCTTTAAGCAACAATGCATTAAATATCCAACTTCTAGTTGGACCTTTTTTAGTAAGAGTAATAGAAACTGATGCATGGTCACTGATAGTGATAGGGTGAATATGAGTGTCCGAAAGGTACGTCATAATTGAGCTGCTAACCAAAAAATACCCAAGCCGAGAATACGAGTAGTGGACTGGTGAAAAGAAGGTATATTCTCTATGAGTGGGGTGGTGAGAACGCCAAACATTGCAGATCCCAAAATCGCTCATGTATTGTTTAAGGGTATCTGTTGATTTCCAAATACGGTGACCACCTGGTCACTGAGGGATTTAATTGAACCTTTGAGGACCTTGTTTTCCACCGCCAGCTCAACCACCTGTTTCTGACTGAACTCCAGGGATTCCTGCAGAGCCTGAAACTCTTTGTGAAGTACTTCCACCAGAAATAATCGGGCATCAAAGCTAGCTCGCTACGTTAGTATAAAATGTGTTGACAGCTTCCCAAAGCATCTTGTGCCTAAACCTAAGTTAGCAATTGTATGCATGTTGACCGGCTAACCCTGCTGCTAGCACATCGGCCTGACGCAGCTGGGGTTAGCCTCCTTTGTGTTGCTCATTATTAAAAATTAAAAATGTACTGTTGAATAAGGTTTTTAATATCTAAAGTGTAGTTCTATTACATCATAGTGAACAGTTTCATCTCCAGTGATTAAAAAAAACATTATTTCATCTCAATATGAAAGATTTAGTTGGATGATTTTGAAGAGGCAGATTTGCGGTGACCTTCTTTGACTGACAGAAGTGAGAGAGAGAGAGAGAGAGAGAGAGAGAGAGAGAGAGAGAGAGAGAGAGAGAAAGAGGGCAGGAGAGGAAAAGAGAGCAAAAGAGAGGGATGGAAGGAGAGAGAGAGGGGAGGGAGGCAGCCTACACAATATACACACAGAGGTACAGACAGTAAAGGTGATGTTGCAAGTGACTAAATGAAAAATGGTACAGATATTTATAATAGTGTTAATGATAACCATCGTAATGTTAATGATTATAATAACAGTAAGACTAGTAACAATAGTTGTTGCAGCAGAGGGTGTTGAGCAGGAACAGCAGACATGTTTCATATGTACATATATATATCTTGGTGCATTCAGCTCCTGATTTACTGAGGCAGCAGCTCATTAGACTCCGTCATGGCTGCCAGAGACAGTCTGCTGCCATTCTAGCTGCTGAGTGTGAGTCAACCTGGGTACATTACTGTCAGAGATGATGTCATAGATGATGTCACTGATGGGCTTACCTGAGCAGGTAACAATCAGGATGAAGGAAGAGGAAGTTGATGATACACACTCCCTCAGAGCAGATCCAGACTGAACACAGTCAGAGCTGATCCACCACACAGGTCTAAGTGAGGACTCCTCTCTCTGTCCTACAGAAACAGCAGAGCCACAGTCCAGCTCTCTACAGACACCAGCTGCTGTCTTCAGGGTCCAGACAGAGTCACTCACTGGTCTCCAGTCTCCCTGATGTTTCACCTCCAGTGTTCCTGCACAGCGACTGGCTCCTCCCACCAACCTGACATCATCAGGCTCTGAACAGAAACCAGAGAGTCATCAGTAAAACAATAAAGTGAGTTTCATCAGAAGAGAAATGAAGCAAATCAAAGCTGCAGCTCCTCTTCTACCTGAGCAGGTGAGTCCAACAGCTTTTCCAGGTGAGCAGGTGTTTCTAGCTGAGCCTGAGCTTCTACAGTCCAGGAGAGCAGACTCATGGCCTCCACACTGGAACTCTTTGGTCCACATCGGAGCCTCCACTTCTCCATAGAGCGCCCCCTGGAGGACTGAAGGAGCCCCACAGCCAAGCTCCCTACAGACCACCTCTGCATCCTGCTGGTCAAAGTCAGCTTCACACACTGAGGACCACCTCTGGTTAGACTTCACCTCCAGTCTGCCTGAGCACAGACTAGTCCCGTCCAGCAGCCTGACAGAGTCTGGAGAGATAATAGAAGATGGCCTTTCCTCATTTTCTGGTTTAATAAAACAATTTAAAATCTGAAACTGTAACAGAATATAATGCAGAGCAGCTCTCAGCTTTCAGATATGTTTCTCCTGTAGATCAACTTTTATATCATCACTGCTGAATCAACGCAGACGTGACTGATTGAGGTAACCTCTTTAAATTTGCCTGTGGCACCTTTTTATCTCATCAATAATAAATGAAATCATTTTAATTCAGTTAGAAGCTCCTGGACTTTAATAGCTCCTGTGTTTCAGCAGTTTTCTGCTCATGTTCAAAGTTCTGCACATTCACAATCTAACTGGGTTCTCTGACATTTCCAGAATAAAGGATATTTTGAGAGGTCAAACAGGATAAATCATCATAAATTTTGTAAAACTTTGTAATCAATCCGCACCGTGTGGAAGGGATCCATAGCACGGGTTGCACCACTACTATCCATGGTAGTGTGGGGATGTTTTGTTGTGCAGGATCACAGCTCCTGTGTGTCCTCATGAGGAAAGTTCAAGATGGCTATCTAAAAATGGGCTTTCTATTGCATCAGACTAGGCAACTTGATGAGTTTATTTTTTTTAAGTAGCCCATTAAAATATTCCTGCAAATGCAGTGAAGAAGTTCAAGTTCTAAAATTTGTGATTTACTTTCATTCATAAAAACGTCTCAAACCATCCCACTATTTCGAGCCAACACATCTATGGACGCACATCATTTTAAAACAAGACAGTGATCTGGTCTGTCTTTCAGTCAAGGTTTAGTTAGTCTGGGCTAATGGAAGTTTCCCCTTCTGACAGAAGCAGAACCTGAACTAGACTGAACTAGATGAGACAAGGAGGAGGAACAGGAATCTCATAGACCTCATCTGTGCTGTCTGTCTCATGTTCACCATGGCAGCACTAGTAGGTCTACTGGTGCCAGTGGCGGGTAAAGTACTCAAAATCTTTACTCAAGAAAAAAAAATTACTCAAAGAGTAAAAGAAAAAAACTGACAAACCTATTTCATCTGCTGTTCATCAGGTTAGAAACAGCTGCTGTGCAACATGGTTATTTCCAGGGAATGCAGTTTGTTTTGCCTGCTGATTATCTGTAATTTAGCTATTTCTACAATTATTTTCCTTTTTAAATCTCCATGAACTTATTGATAAGATCACTTTAAAATATCACTTTTGCTGCCCAGCCAACTTTTGTTACCTGTGCCTTTTATTATGGACATGTAGCCAACCAAACCTGTTGCTTTGCAGCAGCACAGGCTGCCAGTAAAATCTGATTATTCCTAAAGCATCTAAATAATCTTTAGAACAAAGAATGATTGTGGCAGTAACAGGGAGCAGCTTTTGCTGAAGCAGGTAAAGCTTCATACAGAAGAAGCTGTGCGTCATGCGTAAAACCCAATAGGACTGTTTTATCCACCACATTCTCTCTCTCTCTCTCTCTCTGAAAAATAAATAACAGCTGGTAGCTGCTGAGTGAAAGATGCATCTGTAAAATGCAGATTACAGACTGGAAGTTCTGAAGGTATGAATGGAAAATGTAGAGAAATTAATTAATGCTGCAGACATCATCACTGCTGCCTTCAGCTAGAAGGAACAGCAGCACAAAGAAAAGTCTGTAATATTGAGGCACTTTGCAACAACAAGTTATGTCCATCAGGAAACTCTGGGAATCACAGAGTTGAGGCAGAGAGAGAAAACTAGAATATATTTTATTCATATATCTTTTTTTTTTTAAATACTGGTTTTATTTATTAAGTACAGGATGGTCACATGGCATAGTCTGGAGAAATAAAGAGCAGAACAAACAGGCAAACAAAACTAATCAATCAAAAGAAACAAACAAACACCAACTTAGGCTCATATAGATAAGAAAAAATAAATAAGAAAAAAAATAACCACAAACAAATGACCCTCGGGGTTACAGTAGTGTGCTGTATGAACAGTCAAGAAAATCCCTGCAGCATGATATTAGAGACACCAGGTTCTACATACTTCAAATAGGGTTCCAACATTTTATAAAAATGGTCCGCTTTGGAATGTAATATACATGTAAGGTACTCTAATGGTACAAAATCAAACACCACTCTTTGCCAGCCTCTAACAGTTGGTATTTTTTCATTAACCCACTGCAATAAATTATTCTTCCTCGCTGCATAAGTAAGAATACAATACAGCCTCTTATTATGTTTTGATGTTAAGCATCGGCTTGGGAGGCCCAATATGAGAGACAAAGGGTCCATCTCCAGTTCTATATCCAATATCTTTTCTATTTCGGATAATACTAGACCAATCCATTTGCAGTTTCGAACATGACTAAAAACAGTGAGTTAGGGTACAAATTTCTGTCCTGTATTTAAGGCACATGGGTGAGATAGCAGGATGGAAGTGATGCCTGCGGTTGGTGGATATGTGCACTCTACGTGTAATCTTTAACCAGGCAAGTGCACACATAGACATCAAAAGGGGCTTGAGCAGCTGCCCTTTTTATTCCTGGAGAGAAAGTGCCCTTTTTTCTGTGGTGCTTTTTTTAAAATTTTTGAAAAATAATATATATTCCTGTTTGCGCACAGCTTCCCTGTCAAACAAATATATTTATTGAATAGTATATCTCAATTTCAGGACAGGAGTTCTGAAGCGCTCCCTCACTCTCTCTCTCCCCACCTGCGCCTCTGCGCAGTGGCGCACATCTGCACATCACACACAGACCTGCAGGCAGCAGCAGCGGCCCCTCCCAGCAGTGTTTTTCTTAGCTTGTGTTGAGGTGAGTGGCGATGAAACAAAAGATTAAACTACCACTGCCTCGAATTTACTGCTGATTAGCCAAAGACAAATATAGTTAGCCTGTGTCTTGCTAGCATGCATGCCTCATGAGCTAATAGCTAATGTAATAAGTTAGCTACAGTTTAGCTAAGGCAAATAGATCATGGCCATACAGGCCTACTGTACTAAATGGGGACCCTACAGGTGAATACAGTGTGTGTGTCTAATAATGTCATCACATCGCAAACTAGGTGTTAACTAATTAAAATGCGCACATTTGCATCTAATTGACAGGGCAATGCAGGCAAATAGGATAAACAAAATAACTAAAGCATATCACCACAGAACTTCCCCAGTTAATGACTTACATCGAGAGTCTTTCACCCTGAAATTTAGAAATCTGAATTGGTGAATTTAGAAGAAATCTGCAGATGCAAACATATGGAGGATAGTAGGTTTAAAACAAACTCCATCTAAATGTTGATTTTGAAGGTTTTATTTGATGATGATACAGACAGTCTTCCCTCAAATGTGAAACTAAGTCACCGTCAGTTATTGTGTGTGTGTACGTGCATAGCAATAATAATAATGTATTTGATTAATACATTAATCTATTCAGGCAATTCAGTATTCTGTTGCTTGGTTGTGTGAAGCTAAAAAGTTATTTTGCTTGTGAAACAAAAAGTATTTAAACAATTAATTTTAATCATGCCTGCAGCACAATGCCAAAAAAAGAAAGGATGCAGAAAAGGAAGGAGAAGGAGCGCCAGGAAACAGCCAAGAGTAGTAAATCGCTAAATGCATGGTTAAAACCAGGTACCAGAAGCAAAACCCAAGAGAGAGCAGATAACTCAGATGGTGAAGGTGTTACACCTGAGAGAGCAGTTGAAATCTCCAAAACAACAACTGAAAGACAAAAGGAGGCTATAGAGGCAACGACTGACACAGATTACAAAGATGATCAGGAAATCACTGTCCGTGGTGAAGAGGGAGAGACTATATTGAAGGGGAAACGGTGGATAATGTTGAGTTTGAGGAAGCAATAGAAGATGATTGGGTTGAGGAAACTGTTGGTAGTGTAAAAGGGGCCATATAAAAAATTGCATCCTTAAAGTATCCAAAAGATCCCGCACACAACACTCCACTTCATTACCCTTTTCAACCTGGTACAGAAACTCTATGCATTTCTCACCAGCTCTACGAAAACACTGCATTTGTGAAATGCCAAAAGTCCCTGAACCCTGGAGAGCATGTAATCAAACTGCAGAAACTCTGACACACATTGGGCATGCAGAAGAAAAAGCCCAGAAGGCCCTCCATAAAGTGACTGACATTACAGAGCAGGAGCCTCCAGATACTGCTGCTGGAGATGCCAGGATGTACCTTAAAGCCATAGACTTTGAGTTTTTGCTCTGTCTTGAGATTGTCACTCCTGCCCTTGAGATTGCCACTCCGGCATCAGAGGAAGGGATCAGCATTCCCAAAAAACCCCCGGGACAGCAAAGGCAGAGGAGTGTGCCTGCAAAGTACAGCCGAAGTACTGGTGCAGCCACAGAGAGCCACTCCTTCCAGTCAGTAGAAGACTACTACAGAGTAAAGGTGTACTGTTCATTCTTAGATGTTCTTTCTCAGGAACTACAAAGAAGATTTAGGGGAGAAGGTGACTCACAGTCCAGTAAAATACTGAACGGACTCCACAGTTTGACAAAGGCCAACAACTGGATAGGCAAAGACGCAGTGGGTCCTGACTCTCTTGAGGCCATTCACACACTGTGTGAATTCTATGGAGGAGAGGAGCAGAAGTTGAAAACAGAGCTCAGGGTTTTTCGTGCATCTTTCCCAAACACATCCACCATGAAGGAGATGTTAAAAACACTGAGAGATAACAGTGGACAGGATATCTTTCCAACACATAGAAATCTGGCCAAGTTTATTAGTGGACCAAATCCATGACAACCCAGAGTTGAGACCAGGAGGCAGAGTCGCAGTCTAACACACTTCTCTGCTCCTCCATTTCAGGAGTTACTTAGTGAAAATCCTATAGTGACGGTGTCTGCCCCCCGACCATCGAAATTATTTAAAAAGGTAAAGAGAAGAGGAGCTGTGCATAAAAACCTCATAAAAATTAAAACCACAAGAGCAATAGTGCAAACGAATAGGAGAGTTAAATGTGGACCTCTTCTAAAGGTGTACTAGTAAATGAACTAATATCAGATTATGATAT